TATAATAATTGGAAAGTGGATATACTGGTATGATTGAAGAATTTCACATGTTAGATTTTTGACAAATTATTTAATTTTCACGTCAGATTGAATTCAATAAAATGGTACGTATAAATTTGTTAGTAGTGTTATTTCATGATATACCGCATCGTCGTTAATATGTTAGTAGTTGGTGCGATATATCCCACAAACCAAAAATATTTGGGCCTCATTTCAACGGCCGGACATTCATGGGCAAAAATTAGAAATAACATGGTTTACAACTAGTAATTAAAAATAATCATAGTTTTAAAAGTAATGAAAATTTATTCATTTTTGCGTAAAGATAAAATTTGAACAAAAATATAATTAAAATTTTGAAAAAATTCCGACATAATATTGTGGAGTTGGAATATTTTATATATGAGATTCCAGCATAATGTGCTAGAATTTCATAATATGTTGGAGTTCCAATATAATATGTTGAAAGTTTATATGCAGGAGCTCCATAATCCAAAAACCTTTCGTCCTTCAGCTCTTTGTCAAGATTTTGTGACAATTTTTTAATAACTTTGCTAACACTAGCTATTTTTTGATTACCGATCCGCAAACCATCTATTTTGACATATTCATGCCTAAACAAAAACATTGGGTAAAACTAAAAAATAGTCAGATTTACTAGTGATACTTCAAAAATAGCCACAGTTTCAAAAGTAATCAAAATTTAGCCACTTTTCATGTACAAATAAATTTGAACGAAATACTGTTCAAAATACGGAAAATATTTAGCATAATATACTGGAGTTCCAGTATAATATACTAGAGTTCCAAGTAATATACCGAAGTTCAGCATAATATACTAGAGTTCCAGCATAATATGGTGGTCCAATTATGTTGGAAGTTAATACACAAGTACTCCAATCTCCAGTATATTATGCTGAAATTTTCTGTATTATAGCATAATAGTGGCTATTTTTACTACTCTTTAGAAATGGGAATCGAGAGGAGCTTCTGGTTCAAGTGAATTGCCAAAAAAACAAGTTAAGAATAATCAGGCAAACTCTCTGTTCAGAGGGTAATTAGGTCATTCCAAGCATCTCCAAATACACGTGGTTCCCACTTAATTTGTCTTCACGCGCTCAATTTGCATCACTGTCTGTTAACATAGAAAAGGAAAATATGGGCCCCACTTGATAGGTGGATCTCCTTGAAGTTCATTTGGCATTTATATTGGTTAGATTGAAAGAAAGTTAACACACCTTATTTGAAGTCTATAATGAATATTAGACCTTCTGACATTATTGTTCTTTGAATGTCAAATTATACTTGAAATATGAGCCAATTAAGTAAGATTAAATTTAAAATAATTTAGTCAAATTAGTCATTAGCATTATAATGTTATACCGCTTCAAATATCTTGTCAGTAACTATATTTATTAGAAGAGCAAAATAAAAAAAGATTATCTTTTGTTTCATTCAGTTGTTTGAAAAGAAAAGAAACTTAAATCGAGAAAAGTTATTATTAAAATAATATCATGTGCCTTAAGTATTTAGGTCTGACATTATGAGCATTAAGTATTTAGGCCGCTTATCCTCCTTTTCCTATAGATACATTTTTGAAACTGCTATTATTATTAATATATGTATTAAGGTACTACGTATTTGATACCTTTTATATTTTTACTGTTAAAGCTTTACGACGATTGGGGAGCTCAAATTCCATAAGATCATTTAATTTTATATTGAAGTTTGAAAGATAATGCAACGAGAAGTATTTTCCTTTTTAAAAGTTAATGGAATAAAGGATGGCGAAAATTTAAAAAAACTGATAAGGAAAGAATCACTAAGTATGCACAAAAACTAATTATTTAATGCGAAATATCATATTAGTCATAACGTTATTTACTAAAACAAAAGAGTAAGTCAACTATCTCTTTCTAAAATATTAAGATTTTCCATCAAAAAAAAGTACAGTAGGAAAATTTGAATCTCAACGTGCTTTACATTTATAACCAAACATGATAAGGGCATTTTTGAGTGTAAAACGCTAACTTTATTATTAAATATTTCGTACTTGCAATCTCCGATTTGAGTAATTGGCATTAAATAAGTTGAAGAATTTAAATGTTTATTATTTTGAAAGAGAATGAAGTAACATCATCAATTGTTTTCCTTTTAAAAGTAAAAACACTTGAGTGTATGCATAATTGACACCAATAGCATTGAAAAAAAATGTTAGAGTTAAGTTATTTATTTATTACTTTTAATTAGTTTAAAATTTTTCTTAGTTTCTTTTGTCTTTCCTTAGATTAGATGAAATAAACAATTAAAATTTGAAAACACTCAAATTATCTCTAATTTAAAATTACAAATTCGAATATAATCTATTAAAAATTATAACTAGCGGATCTGGTGGTCGACAATCGTTAGGACTTGGTAAAGGTTGTCGCAGCACCTGTAGTAGGACAGAGGACTTGTCGCTATGCCCGCAAACCAATTTACGATGTCTCCGTCGCTAACGTTCGTCAAGTAGGCCACGTGGATTGGCCAGGGTCTTCTTCGGCTAATGAGACCTCGATCCCAAAGCCTTCGAAGTATCTTTTTGATAGGTGCCTCTATTTGTATGGGGAATTCGCTGCTGATAGATCTCGCCCATAAAGCGTACTTAAAAAGTTTCTGAATGGTACTAGGATGGTGTAAGAATCGACAGAAAAACAATACGATATAATAAAATTTAAGTAAAAATCAAAACAAATATTTTATTTAAACTAACAATATGATACAATACAACATGTAACAAGCATCCAAACAAGCTGTAGTATTCGACAAAGAAAAAATTAAATCAAAATATATATCTAGACACAAAGTGCTTACATTGCCGTCGGGGCCGGGCTTAGCTCGGGCACAGCCGGACTAGTTAATTTATAAAGAGAAAATCTCACTTTATACCCATTAAATTCAAACTATTTACCCTTAGATACTCATACCAAAACTATTTACTTTTCCTACCTATGCAATCAATACTATTTACCCGCCCACATAGTTTCTATATATCGGATCCAAGTCACATTATCAAATCGATCCAGCACTGCAAGAATCGATTGGGGGTTTGAACACGCAAAGGGCATTACTGCTCCATTGGTCTCCATTGGTAAGTGGTAACTTTTCAGTAACTTTTGCAGCATTAACACGCAAAGGGCATTACTACTTCATTGGTCTCCAATTAAATGTAGCTAATATTATTCTTTGATGTGTAGATTGTACCTTTGATGCTGGTTTTTGGAGATTTATTGTACAAATATTTAAATCCACTATTGACGGACCTTGAAGCTTGAAACTCATAACTTGGTTTGTTTGAGTTTTTAATTATTTTGTTCCGATCCTGTATGGGTTAGTTTGGAAAGTTGATTGGAGGTTGTAGCTAAAGTTTTAGTCAATTTGGTGGAGATTTTGTAGTAAATTTTAGAAATTTGGGTTGAAATATAGTTGAACCAGAGAAGAAGACGAATTTGTATTGTATACCCAAATAGTATACAAATATACCATTTTAGTATACAATTCATTCCAACTATATATCCTATTAGTATAGCTATATACTATATTGGTATCATATGTTAGTTAAATTATTTTTTGGTTGTATTAGCTGCATTTAATTGGTACAATATTTGATTTTCTTTTAATAATAGTAATCTAGTACAGTATCTTGAAATACCTTATATTAATATGTGGTACACTATTTTTTTATTTTTCTCTTTATGCATGTGTGTTATGTAATAGTAGTATAGTCATATAGTTGCCGGGAATTAACTAGTAAAACTGTATACCATGTTGGTATAGTTATATGCCATATTGGTATCATATGGTAGTTTGAACATTATTTTGGTTGTTTTAGCTGCATTTAAGTGAATTCTATTATAAAATTATTTATATCAAAATAAGTTGCAATAATGCTGGAATTTTTGTGTGCCGATGGACATAAATTATGTGTATTAATAGTTTTTATAGTTATAGGCAATTGTTGGAACGACCCCATAAAACTATATACCCTCTTAGTATACGAAATGAGCAAGTTGTTTTGCGAATATTTAAGTTTGCAATACGAGCATGTAATACTTCTATTGCGTCCTTTGATGTTTTGATAGAGTAGTATAGTCGCAGATAGTTGTAGCAATATTCTAGAGAAATCATATGCTCTGTTGGTATACATATATACCATATTGGTATCACATGGTACTAGAAGTCTTTTTCGCTACTTATACTTTTGTTGTATTTTTTAATATTTTATTATCATTTTTATTCTAACTAGTATATATGGAGATTTGGTTGCCGTAGATTATGTTTTCTTGCTCTATAACTGGTTGTATTATTGCTAATGGTAGAGTGTATATTGATATTTGTAGGGAAGGAGATCAAGGTTTGCATGGCAATGACGTGCTGATTCTTAGAATCTGATTATGTAATTTATGGTGCTCAACAACAGTCAATGTAATATTCAGTGTATTAGATCAAGTGACAACTGATATTATTTCAGTTTAATAATTGAATTTAAAAAATGAGAAAGAAAAAAAAACAAAAGGTATATTGTACTAGTTATATTAAAAAAAAGGTGAACAAATATTTACTATATCAATTATTTTTCTTATTGTATAAAAAAAGAATAATAAAAAATAGTGAAAACGGTAGATGAAATTAGATTATAAAGAGAAAAAAAAACATAAAAAAAAGAAGTTAAATGAAATTAGAAAAGGAAAAAAAGAAAAAAAAAATAAGAAGAAAACGAGAAAAAAGAAGCAGAAAAGAAAAAAAAAAAAGAAAAAAAAGAATAAAAGAAGCATAGAAATAAAAAAGAATTGGAGAATAAAGAAAAAATTTCCCTATAAAAACTATTATGGATAGGAAATGTAATTAGTTTATGGATAAAAAAACAAATTGGTAGACAATGATAAATAATTTTGTTTTTGTAGGTAACTATGTCAAAACCCCATTTATAAACTCGGACTATTGTTTAACTATCCGTCCGAACTATTTTCAAACAAATGAACGCAAGCTCGACCCAAAATTCCAATTGCATTTAGCTTCAATTTCTGCGAGATTTTCTCTACAGGTCGCTAAAACTCCTCTGCCCTGCCGCTAATTAGCTGCTCATATTCACCTCTCAAGCAGAATTAGGTATGTTTTTTCTCTATCGAGCTTTGTCTCTATAATCCATTTTTATGTGTCTAGTTAGCAAAAACCCTTATCCCCTTTTTGCAATTAATTTTAATGGTAAACCACAAATTTTAGTGAAGCGGACCATAATCTTGTTATTATTTCCTGTTAGTTTGCTTCCCTTGTGATAATGGCTTGAAATTGTGGTGGTACTAATTTGAGTTTACGTATAAGAATCAATTTCTTAAAATTTTTAAAATGATTAATTAAAAGAACTTTACTTAGCTGGGGTTTAACCTAACTGTTATTCCTTAAAAGAGATGAAGAAGCAAGGCTCCATATTTGGAGAGTTGTTATAGCAGAGTTATTAAAAGCCATTGCTTCATCTCTTAAAGTGCTCAAGCGAGTGGAGCGAGGGTCACCAGTTCATGGGCTAGCCAATGTGCTTCGAATATTGCGCGCTTCAAACAATAATGTGCAAAGTGATCCCAACGCAATGTCACGACCCAAAATCCAACCCAGGTCGTGATGGCGCCTATCGTGTTACAAGGCAAGCCTATTTCCCAAAATATTACTACGAAATCGATTATAAGAAATTAATAAAATATTTCAACATTTAAATTTTTCATAAACTAAATTAACTCTAAATATAATGTAAAAAAAATACGGAAAACGAGCCCCAAACATCGGGATGTCACTAAGTCATGAGCGTCTAAAACTATAAACTAAGATATATAAACTGTCTAACTGTCCAAAAGAAGAAATGACAAGAGGAGTAACAAGGTCTTGCGGACACTAGCAGCTACCTTGCAATCTCCACCGGCCTGAACTCAACGATCGCCGCGCTCTAACTCACCTGGATCTGCACATAAAGTGCAGGGTGTAGTATGAGTACAACCGACTCAATAGTAACAAAAATAACTAAGGAACTGAGCAGTAGTGACGAGCTAAGCAAAACAGTCCAATTATTTATTTTCACAATTTACAATAAACATGAATAAACAAGTAAATTCCATAAAACCAACAAATGCCACAAAGAAATTAACAGGTATATGCAGCAACATCAAAAGTAAATGCAAGCTCACAGCAATGTCACTCCATCACTCATCACTCGCACTCAGCACTCAACACATAACACTCAATTCACTCAACACTTTGCGCACACTGGGAGTGTGTACAAACTCCGGAGGGGCTCCCAAAGCCCAATCGCTAAGCACGAACAGCTCACGTGCCATAATATCAATACCTGGATCCGCACGGGCAGCTCACGTGCTACGCGGACAACTCACGCGCTATGGTATCAATACCTGGACCCGCACGGTCAGCTCACGTGCTACACGGACAGCTCACGCGCTATGGTATTAATATCCTCACAACCAGGCCCTCAGCCTCACTCAGTCATGTAGCTCACTAGCCTCACCATCATCAACAAATAAGGAAACACAACCCACATCAAGTATCACAACATATCAGCAAAATAATAGAGATTGAGGTAAACATGTACAATAATTTCTATGACTGAGTACAAACAACGTGAGCATGAATGAAGCCTAAACATGATCTCTAACGTGAAGGCAGACAAGTTCAACAACAAGTAAACACATAACCACAAATAATAGCCATTAGGCCTCACAGCCTCACGGGACGGACCAAGTCTCAATCCCTCGCGGCGCACACCCACACGCCCGTCACCTAGCGTGGGTATCACCACCAAACAATCACATGATATCAGTTTCTCCGGGTTTATACCCTCAAAGCCAGAGTTAAAACTGTTACTTACCTCAACCGCGTAAAATCCTACTCCAGGATGCCCTCGTCCCTCGATGCGGTCTCCAAAAGCTTCGAATCTAACCATAATCAGAATAATATTATCAACATGGCTAGAGAATCAAATTCCACAATAAAATCTACAAAAATAGACCAAAAATGCGGAACCGGCCAAAACCCGGCCCCCAGGCCCACGTCTCGAAACCATTCAACAATGGCAGAATCAAAACCCTCGTCCTCTCCCGAGTCTAACCATATAAAATTCATCAAAATCGGACTCCGTTTGGTCCCTCAAATCCTCACATAAAACTCTCCAAAACTGTAACCCAAACTCCCTCAATTTCACTTTGAAATCATCAACCAAATCCCAACAACGAAGATGGATTCATGAAATATAACCAAAACCGAGTAGAGAACACTTACCCCAATCCATATGGTGAAAATCGCCTCTAAAATCGCCTAAATCCGAGCTCCCCAACTCAAAATATGACCGAATGAACAAACCCTTGTTTTATATATTTTTCTGCTAGATATTCTGCCTCGTTTCTCGTGCCAAACGATCCCGAAACTCGCTTTTTATGCCTCAATGGATTCCTTGTGAAATTTTAGTCAAGTTAGGCTTTTGAATCACTCAATTTGACCTTATAATGAAGGAGATAAGTTGGTTTCAATATTTGCAAATAGTGCAGATTTTTAATTACGCCGTCAGTGGCAATTTCGTAATAAATCCGAAAAATCTGGCAACCTAATTCTTAGTAAAATGACCATAAAATCCTCGTACGATGTCCAAATTCGACGATTCTTTTTGCTAGGAGTCTGTAATTACGATACGGATCTAATGCTTCAATCAAAAAGGAAATCGGAGCTCATTTGTTCAATATGATATTATTTATGCTTGAAGAAACGGCGTCGAAACATAAGAAAAACGAGCGCAACACAACCAAAACCTATCCGAAATTCACCCGAGGCCCTCGGGACCTCAACCAAAAATTCCAACAAGTCATATATCACTACCCGAACTTAGTCGAACCTTCGGAACACCCAAAACAACACCAAAACACCAAATCAACCTCAGATTCAACATTCAAGCCTAAGAACTTCTGAACTTCCAAAACTCGCCAACGACGCCGAAACCTATCAAACCACGTCCGAATGACCTCAAATTTTGCACACACGTCACAAATGATACTACAAACCTACTCCAACTTCCGGAATTCCATTCCGACCCCGATACCTAATTTTCCGTTGTCGACCAAAATCGCCAAATTTCTAACTTTCGCCAGTTCAAGCCTAATTCTACCACGGACCTCCAAATCACATTCCGGACACACTTCTAAGTCTAAAATCACCCAACGCAGCTAATCGAATCATAAAAATCCAAATCTGAATTCGTTTACTCATAAGTCAACTTTCGGTTGACTTTTCTAACTTAGCTTTCTATCTAAGAGACTAATAGCCCGTTTGGCCAAGCTGCAAAAATCAGCTTATTTTGAGAAGTGCTTTTTTTTCAAAAGTGCTTTTCTCAAAAGTACTTTTGGTGAGAAGAAGTTTGTGTTTGGCTAATTAGTTTGAAAAGCACTTCTGAGCAGCAATTAGTGTTTGGCCAAGCTTTAAAAAACTGCTTCTAAGTGTATTTTTCTCAAAAGTGCTTCTCAAAAAAGTGCTTTTGGAGAGAAGCTACTTTTTCCTACTTCTCCAAAACTGCTTCCGCTTCTCCTCAAAAGCACTTTTTTTCCTTCCAAAAGCTTGGCCAAACACCTCAATTTTTGGCCAAAAGTGCTTTTGGCAAAAAAAAAAGCACTTTTGGCCAAAAAGAAGCTTGGCCAAACAGGCTATAAGTGTTCATTTCACTCCAAAATTACTCCGAACCCAAACCTACCAACTTGATACAACTCAACAAAGCTGGACAACGCATAAATAAGCATAGATGGGGGAATCGGGGCTATAACTCTCAGAACGACTGACCGGGTCGTTACACCCTCCCCTCTTAAACAAACGTTCGTCCTCGAACGAGTCTAAAACATACCTGAAATCACATGATATACCACATAATTCAAACACTCACAACGATGATTTCTAATCATAGCAGCTGCCCAAAACCTATGTTGTCGGACTCTCCGAAAATGTGGCAGGATACGTGTCGGATCCTTCAAAAGTAGTGCATTTTTTAAGGATCCGACACTGGTGCGGCTACATTTTGGAGAGTCCGTGCAACATAGCCCAAAACAACCAAACGCTGGTAATAAACCTCTTATTAGACAGAGCCTGAACAAGCTGTAATATTGCTTATATGTCCGTTGGTGTCCCTATTAGTGGGATTTGTGATTTGATGGCTATGATGCGAGTATGATATGACTGCGAGATTGTGTTCGGATTGATCGAATGTGACGAGAAGAGTTTACTTGAGATGTAGCTCTTACTCCATTTTCTTGAAAGTAATCGGTTACAAATAGACAATAGTATGGAGAATATTCTCCTTCTTTTGTTTTGGGGATTTCTTCCCTTTGTCTTTCTTTTTGCACGAAAATGTTTGAGAACATGAGGAGTGGGGGAAATGGAAATAATGCTTTCTTTCTTTTTATATCATGCTTTGAAGGTGAAGTAATCCTTGATTCCTTGGGTGACTGAAGTCAGGAAACCATTGTGAATTTGATTTTTGGGCATTCAGTTTCATAGCTTATCATAAGGTTTCCTTTCTGTTTTCCTGGTTAGGCAGTTATATATCGGGATTGGCTCAGTCTTGGTTGCTTTTATGTAGGTGGTTTGAGAACATGATGAGTACAGATGAGGCATTAAAGAGAACTTCCTCCCATCCTCAATTGGTTGTGTTGAACAGGTCATTTAACTTGGTGAGAATTCCTGTCTGAGCTTATTTAGGATGTAAGTAAGATGTGTTTAATTACCTATGAATGATTGGTATGCTTGCTTTTGACTTGGTGAGGGTGAATAAGTGTTAGATTCAAATCGGCACTCAGCAACTGATTCAAAGTCTTGAGTGTGCAGAAACTAGAAATTTTGGTTCTTACCCAATTTTGAATAGGAGATCTTAGGATTTTTTTTATTAAGCAATGAGGTGACAAAGTGGATTCAAGGGTTATGTATATAAAAAACGGGGCTAGTGTATATCAAAGAAAAGCAGGGAACTCACATTTTTTCCTCTTCTACTCTTCTTTTAGAAATCATTAACTATTGCATACTCCTTGTTTGCTACTTCCAAAAGTCAGAAAAAGTTGGGTATTTCTCACATCAGGTCTCTTTGCTTATGATTTTTGTTTTTAGCTTTTAGTAAGTTTAATTCTTTCCTGCTATATCTTTGTGAAGATATGAATTTTATTGGCTTTTACTCTTGGTCTCTTGCTAGGTGTAAGTGCAAACGAGAGCTCTACTTCCCACCTGACTCTTTTTTCTTCTCCGGCACTCCTCTCTTTTTGACCGTTCTGGTTTTTGGAGCTTATCTTCTTCAGAGTGGAATTTGGAGATGGGGTTTGATGAAATGGAACCAATTTTTGGGAGGGTAAACGCAGAGTGGTCAGCACCTCACAAAACCCCATTGAAGCCTTTCCTCTTTCATGTTCACGGGCTGCGAAGTGATCCCTCTACTCTTCGTGTCTGTGCCACTGACTTCCATTCAAATACGTGGGACTCTTTGAAATCTGCCCAGGAGCTTGAAGATATGAGGGACAGAACTGGTATAGGAGGCTCTTGGTCTGACTTTGTAGATTACCTTATAGCTTCCGTAAAGTCTGAAGATGTGAAGCTTGTTATGGATGGACGGTCAAAATTTGGAGGTGCTGCACATGCAAAATTGGTTGCTCAAAAAGCAAAGGGGATGCCAAGAATCGCTATATCACTTAGTAAACTTGTGGATACTGCAGCAACTGAGGCAATGGCAAATCTTTCTCTGGAGCTCCACAAAACATTTACAAATGTACATAATTTGCTTAAAGCTGAACAAAAACGATGCTCTGAGTTGACAAATGTTTTGTCAGAAGAAAAGCAGGAAAAGAATGAAAACGGCCAGTACTCAAAAAGACAGAAATTGCAAAAGATTACTGACAAAACAGCCCCAGATACTGTAACCGTCAGTAGCTCACTGGAGTCTCCAGATAAGCAAGCAGCGCAACCTCCCTCTACAAAGGCGACTAACCGTGTGGTACCAGCACATCGTAGGGCCAGAACCCGAGGCGTTCTTTTGCATGATACTGAAGATGAGACGCAAGATTAGGAAACACTGTCATTTATCTCGGTGATTGATGTGAAGCAATTTATGCTTTTTCTCTTTTTGTAAAATGTACAGCTGTATGATGGAAAATATGGAAGATTTAGGGAAGACAAAGTGTGCTACGATAAAGTCAAGATTTATTTCAGATTGGAGTTGTTAGGCTCAAAGAGAAACGATTAAGTCAACGTGAAAATCAGTCCTTGACTCCTTGTTTGTTGCCCGGTTGAAACACTTCTATATTTCCAGGTTTGGCAATGTATTGATCTTATGTTACTCCTTGGTTGAGGAATGAATTGTTAGTCTTGGACAATCCTCCCATCTTGAGCTAGCTTTTGGGGTGGAGTTAGTCCCAGTTTTCATATTTTCACATGGTATCAGAGCCAAGCCCATCCTTATTCTCTCAATTCATTAGTAAAACAAATTCTGGTTCAGGTTATCAGGTATCTAGTATATGAACTGCAGGTACTAGGTTCCATCTGCTATAACTTTGTCAAGGTATTATTTCCTTTCCGTACCATTGTAAATTTTCAGTTAAAACGTTGTCTTTAGGAATGGGAAAAGCTATCCTGAAAAACTGAAAAGAAAAGTAAAAAGCTATCCAACAGAATTTGGAATGAAAATGGATAAAAAAAAATTCCCTTGCCCAACACCCAAAAGCTCAAAGCCCATTTCCCATGCAAAAAAAGAAGTGATGAAACTAGTGATAAAAGAGAATGTTCTGAACATGTGGGAGCAACACACGTTTAAGTAACTAGTGTTAGAATGTCCCGAATTGGTTGAGGAAATGTGTTGTCTTGTATAATCATGGGTCATTGTAACCTCATGAGCTAATTCTGGAGTCAATTTAGACCAAACGTTTATTTTCTTAAGAAGTAGACTCTTGCATCTTGTCTTTATCAGATTATATAACTGAATGAACTTCTATTATGTTAGATTTTTACATAATTTGTGCAAATGTGATAAGATCAAAAGTTGAATTTCTTGCACCTAAGGTTGTGACTTAGTGATCAATGAAGTGGGTTGAGAACCATGGGTGGGGTCTCAGGTTCAAATTCGAGCGAGGCAAAAATAGTATGTGATTTCGTCTCATTTGTCCAGGCCTTGGTGGATAGAGTTACATGGTATCTGTCAGTGGCGGAGGCAGGATCTCTACGAAGGGGGTTCAAAAAAAAAAAGTTAAAAAAATTTGTAGCTAGTGGGAATTGAACATATGACCTTAGGAAGGTTTTGAACCTCCTTGGCTACTAAGCTACACTTTTGGGCAGTGTTAAGGGGGTTCAAAACTTAATATATATAGGTAAAAAACCAGATTTTGCCAGAGTGTATTTTTTTGGTGAAGGGGGTTCGGGTGAACCCCCTTCCGCCCCCCCTAAATCCGCCCCTGGTATCTGTGGTGGCGGGAGATAGCAGATACCACTTAAATTTAGTCGAGATGCGGGCAAGTTGATTTGAACGCCACGGTTACATAGAAAAAAGGTGGAGTTTCCTGATCTCTGGTGCCTGATATTAGCTGGTTTTTACCATAGAAGTCTGTCTTGCTAGTATTACATAAAACTTCAGTAGTATAGTTTCAAACTTTCAAGCAAAAGCTAGATAATCAGGAGAGAAATTGAAATTTCACAGCCCCTCTCTCCCATGTATGAGAAGAGATGCGTACTCTACTTCAACCAGAGTTTAGGGACTCCCCTTTTGTTAGTTTTAACAATGACATGCTACACTAATCTACATCATTCCCAATATCACTCTTGGTTGGAAATAATTTATCCACATTTCTGAGCCCTGAATATCGTTCAAGCTCAAAGTTTATATCATTTGCTTTCTTTTTAATGGTGGTGCTCGGACCAGTTTGCTGCGAGCACCTTGACTATTCCTCTAGGTACTTGTCATCTTCCACTTTCCAAGAGTAGTTTTTCCTATTTCTTTTGCTTCAGTTTTTTTGTTATCCTGATGTCGTTAGTACTATTTTGTGTTACTGATTCCGTTTCATGGTTTATACACTATTATTTTCTTTTTAACAAATAATGTGACTATACTTCTCATGTCTCTCTACTTCACAAGATAGGAGTAAGGATACATATACTACCCTTCCCAGATCTCACTTGTGGAATTATACTGGATTTGTTGTTCTTTTGCAAAGTATTACGAATATAATAGAGTTCGAACTATTTTTGAACTAGTAAAATGTACAAAAATAGATTTTTGTTGTTTAGTTTCTAGAAAACTTGTGGGACATTTTTGAAAAACTTGTTTGGTCTTCAAACCAAACAAAATTTGAACTTTTTGAGAGAAACTGTAAATCCAACCAGAGTACACTTTAATCTTGCGGACATATAATTATGTGTTGGTAGTTCAAGGTGCTTTGAAGATAGAGCTAACACTGAACAGAAGATCAAGATGAATTGTATATTTTTATTTCACTTTGGTGTAAAGAATCTCTGGTAGAGGATGTAGAGTCTATATTATTGGGTTTTTTAAAATACCACAAGTCTGAGTTTTGTGTTTTGCTTTTTTTTTTTTTTCTTTTTTCAGAGGTCTTGTAACTATCTTTAACCTTTAGCATAATCTTTATTCTAAAGATTTTTCTACTTAATTTATAAAACTTGTTACCTTCTCAAAAAAATAAAATGTGTTGACAATTAAAAATTCTATAAAATCGTAAAACACCTTTAGTTTTTGGGAGAGGAATAATGTAACCCCTTTATTTACATTGGGATAGAACCTCTCTTGCATTATTAAAATAGATAGAGGAACAAGCGGGGGGTTAAAACTTAAAATATTTTGAGGGTTTTACCTTTATACAATTTTATTTTATTTTGAAAATATTTGAAATTAAAAAAAAAAAAAAAGTGTATCAGCCTATCAGGCTTGAATATCTACACGGCAAATATATGTTGGTAAAGTTAGGCTTCAAACCTAATTTAGTTCCCAGGTTACAATTCAATTCAAATCAATCTTAATCCAATTAATAATGCAATTCAATTTCGGTCCCATTGTAGTTGAGTTTAATTTAATTCAGAAAACATGTTTTGGTTTAATTCAATCCACATATTTACTTCAGTTCAGTCTAAATTTTAATTGTCCAATTTTTCGATAGATATGGGATAGTGACTTTTTCTTTTTTATCTTTTTTTTTTAATAAAAAAAATAAAAAAGGAATAGGACTTATAGCCTGTTTGGCCAAGCTTCTCAAGAGGCCAAAAGCGCTTTTTTTCCCAAAAGCACTTTTTTCCCTAACTTGAGGTGTTTGGCCAAGCTTTTTTGAGGAAAAAAAGTGCTTTTGGGAAGAAGCAGAAGCAGTTTCTGAGAAGCAGAAAAAAGTAGCTTCTTCCCAAAAGCAGAAGCAGAAGCAGTTTTGACTTTTCTTCGTACTAAAAATGCCCTTAACAAAATATAGTATATACCAAAATAACCGTTAAACCTAATACTTAGGATGTTAATTTATAAATATTTCTTCTTATTTTTAGGATAGCTTTCTATATATAGTGACTTTAGCGGTGAATGCTTTTATATTTATTGAATGCTTTTTAATATATTTAACTTATATTAAAAGAATTAAGTATTTTTTAATTTTATTTTCATATTTTACTTAAATAAAATGAAAAGATTTAATTATTGCATGTAATAACAAATTTTTGAGATTATTTATTTACTTATAATATTAACTATAAAGTAAATCTATTCATGTCCTTATTCGTAATTTGATACTTAAAAGCACTTTCTGAAAAGCTTGGCCAAACACAAATTATTGCTCAAATGTGCTTTTCAGAGTAATTAGCCAAACACAAACTGCTTCTCTCCAAAATTACTTTTTTCAAAAGCACTTTTAAAAAAAACGCTTCTCAAAATAAGTTGATTTCTCCGACTTGGCCAAACAGGCTATTAGACTTTGCAAAGGAAAGGAAACTTGAAGACTAGTCGGTAAATGATAGGGACCTTGATTATTGTTTGTAATGTAAAAGAAAAATAGTGAGTGACAAAGATAATGATCCAAACAAATCATTTTAACTACTCTAAGAAGCTGCCATATGGTATTGTTCTTCAACCTAAAGTAGACTATTACATTTTCCATTCAATTTCTTGTTTCATTCATAGGCTTTAATATAAGTTGCATGATCTTTTTGTTAATTAACTATGTTCAAAACAAAAAATCAGTAAAAGAAAACTTAGAACAGAAATGTAAAATATTTCGAGCCCACTTTGTTTTTGTCCTTAAAAAATTTTATCCCCTCGTTATTGTCCAAGGTATTTGGATTAATTCCTCCCGAAATCGAACGAAAAATTATTCTGTAATAGCGGCATTACGAATCATGAACTTCAGCGTACTGAAATAGCGGAGCAAATCACACAATGCAGACTCTTTTTGATTTTAAAATAGGCAAAATACATAAAGACCCCATTAAACTTGTCCAAAAAACACAGGTTTGAAACAATGAGGTCTTTATGTATTTTGCCTTTAAAATATGCAAAAACTTTGGAATTTCTGTTATAAAAAATTTGAAACAATGCCTTTGTATTTACAAACAATGAAGGGTGAAATGAAGAGGTACAATTCAAAAAAGTGTTTTTTTTCGTTTCTTATTCATACTCTTTAAAACGCCCAGCACTTATGTGATTATCGATCTAAAACTACTCTCATATTACATACTTATGGTAATTTTTACCATCGCTCTATCATTATCAACCTTGAATGTTATATCAGGATGAGGATTCAATCATAGCGAAACAAAAGAGAACAAAATAAGAGAATGCTAAGAGCAGAGAGCTTATTCAGCACTTCACGACCTTAATCGAGTGATTTTTATATTTTAAAGGAAAAAAGAGACATTTTTTGTCTATGAAGAGAGGAACAAAAAACGAAATTTGAGTGAGATTTCAACCTATAATCATTAAACTCAATGTGACTCTGCCAACCTAATGTTGAATATCACATGTGTTTAACAAACTTAAACATATAAAAGTGCATCTTCAACTCTATGCTACTCTATAGCTTTAAGTCGCATTTTCACCTTTAATACATACACATATAAAATAGAGGTGTATCGTTTAATTACATGTTTCAACTCGAGGGACCAGACCCGAGTTCGAAGACAGAGCACGATACCTGTCGAGGTCGAGTATGCTCGACCTCGGAATAGTACCGTTATGGACTTGTAACAGAATGAGCTAGATTCCTGCCACGTCCCCAAGATCATGGCGCAAATCCCTGAATATGATTGTACGATTCCGTATTAGGCGGTTAGACAGTTGTACCAAGAATATTCCTTACTGCAAATAGAAATATACCTTATTTAGGGTTCCCCTATTATATAA